GCCGCCCGAGTAGCTGGGACTACAGGCGCCCGCCACCTCGCCCGGCTAGTTTTTTTTGTATTTTTTAGTAGAGACGGGGTTTCACCGTGTTAGCCGATGGACTCGATCTCCTGACCTCGTGATCCGCCCGTCTCGGCCTCCCCAAGTGCTGGGATTACAGGCTTGAGCCACCGCGCCCGGCCCAGAGAACTATGCTTACAATTGCTTTTATTTTTTTCTTTTTGAGAAAATGTTGTAGAGCTGTATAGATACCAGTCACTAGTTTAAGGTGTGGGGAGTGGGGCCTGGGGGGCAGCACAGTATGACGGAAAAGTGCAGGTGCTCTGGAGCCCAGTTTCTATTCAGGTCTCCATAGGGTTCCCCAGCTTTCCTTCAGGCCATGCAGTCTCCTCAAGTCCCTCAGCTTTCACTACAGAATGTCAAACCTATGTCCTGTGTGATCTACTAGGGTATAATAGGGCTGTACTCAAGTATAGCAGAGAAGTTACAAGCTAAGAATTTCCCAGAGTACAGTCTTAAGTTTACAGACTAAATATTCATCAAAAGACTGAATCCTGGGGAAAAAAACAAAATAAAACACAACATCCATACCAGGAAGGGTGGCTAAAGAAGGCATGGTCCCATCCATCCTTTAGGGTAGTCTAAAATCAATCCTAAATCAAGCCAGATTAGTACAGAGTTAACCAGCATTGACTGAATCGTGCTTTAGAATGTTGCCATCCACTATGTTGAGAGTTGCTGCAAGAAACAGTTCTATAATGGGGACAAACACAAGAGGCAGGTACCAAGTGCTAAAGAAAAATCAAAGTTGAGGCCAGAAAAAAAAAAGCTGATTGTATGAGTGTATATAGAGTGGGGATTATACTATTTTCTCATTCACTCAGCAAATGGTAGTCTAGATTTTGCCAAGAGGCCAGTCTCCTGAATAGTGTGTCCGTGGAACCTTCCTATGGGCATAATCACCTATGCCAATAGCTGTTTCAACTGCTAGCCTAGCATTTTATTTATTTATTTAAAATACAGATGGGACCTTGCTATGTTGCCCAAGCTTTTCTTGAACTCCTGGGCTCATGCAATCCTCCCACCTTGGCCTCCCAGAGTGTAAGAATTACAGGTGTAAGCTGCCACACCCAGCCGTAGTACAGCACTTTCAGACAAAACCTCAACAACTTACACATTTCTTTTTTTCTTTTCTTTTTTTTTTTTTTTTTGAGACAGTCTCGCTCTGTCGCCCCCAAGCTGGACTGCAGTGGAGCGACTGGCTTACTGCAACCTCCACCTCCCAGGTTCAAGCAATTCTCCTGCCTCAGCCTCCCGAGGAGCTGGGATTACAGGTGCGCGCCACCACGCCCGGCTAATTTTTTTATTTTTAGTAGAGTCCGAGTTTCGCCATGTTGGCCAGGCTGGTCTTCAACTCCTGACCTCAAGTGATCCACCCGCCTGGGCCTCCCAAAGTGCTGGGATTACAGGTGTGAGCCACTATTCCTGGCCTTCTTTCTTTTTAATTGACAGATAACACTGTATATTTTTATTGTGTACTGCTGATATTTTTAAGCAGACATACATTATGGAATGGTTACTATGTGAGATAATGCATTATGTTAATTAGCAAGATGCTAATTAACATTGTAGTGTGAGCACACAACATCTACTTTCTTTACATTTTTCAAGAATACAATATATCATTAATTACAGTCACCTTGTTATATGATAGCTCTCTTGAAATTTACTCCTCCCATCTAACTGTAACTAAGTAACCTTTTACCAATATCTCCCCATGACCCTTTCTTTTTTTATTTATCGTATGAAGTTCCATCTAAAACTCTCTGCTTCCTCATTAACACAGTTAACACAACTTGCTGCCCTCCTAACAGAGTCGTCCTTAATGCGGAGTTCAGGCTTCTTTTTGGACAACCAATATCTAAATAATTATGTTAGTGGAGGACTACCTGGAGCGATGAACACTGTAACTCCAAGGAGTTTGGGCCAAGTATTAAAACAAAAATACAATTGCCATTTAATTCCCATGTCCTTCCCTATGTATTCTTGTCTAATTACAAAACTCAGCGGTGCTTCTTAACCCCAGAGGAAATTATAAGTTACATAAATAAAATAAACAAATAAATAAAAAACAGTCCTAGGAAAGACATCACTGTACATGGTTATACCACATGTTGTCCTCGTTATGAAAACTTCTGGAAGAAATTCTGTCTAAAAATTCACTATCAAAGGGATAAATGTATTTTTTGAACAATTGTCTTATGTCTCATGAACACTGTGAGTTTTGTAACTGACAGGTTGGTTCCTAAAAAGAGCCAAAATTACAGCTCCTACGTTAGCTTCATTCACAACTCAACTTCATCACCACCCTCAGTTTGTGCAGTTCCCCCTTCACTCATTGTCTTTGGTACAGCCTTGCGGGCTACCTTAGATCCTGTCTGGAACAAGGTAAGGTACAGGTAAAATAAAACAGAGGCATGTCTGTGTTTGTCAGTGCTCATGCTCCCAGTTACCAGTTCTCTCCGTAGCCTGGCCAGCTCCTCCTTTTTCTGCTCTTCCTCCTGTTGTCTGGCCTCCTCCAACTGCTGGGCTTTCTGGGCTTCTACCTCAGCCATTCTCTTCTCCAGCTCCTGCCGCTCCTTGGCTCTCTTCTCAGTAGCCAGCTGAAAAGGTTCCTGAACTAGAGAACCAGAAAGGCCCTCTAAGTACAGAAACAGAAAAAATATTGGTGCACAAGCAGGACTTGCATAAACCTACACCCCCTGAAATGAGCAAGTGGCACAGACATGCACACTAACAAGAAGACTGTGCTCTAAACAAGCCCCACTGGGAGAAAGGTAGAGCAAACCACATACAAAAAGTTTTAGAATTTTAAGACTTCAAAGGGCCCCTGGAAATCATCTAGTGTAATTGGGAAACAAGCAAAGAGATAAAGTAACTTGCACAAAACTACATAGTGATTGATTTTGAGGCAGACATAGGAGAAAGAGCCCAATATTCTTTTTGTCCCTTTTTGTAATGATTTTTTTGAAAAAGAGATGGGGTCTTGCTATGTTGCCCATGCTGGTCTCAAATCCCTGGGCTCAAGTGATCCTCCCGCCTGGGCCTCCCAAAGTGCTAGGACTACAGGCATGAGCCACCACACCCGGTGGAATCCCAATATTCTAGCACACTACCCAGTGTTTAAGGAATCAAATGTTTTATATCTAAAATTTGCTTCAGGGTGAATTCCAGAAAGCCATATTGGCTCTCCCTCCCTCATTTACTTGTTTCTCTATGGGTGGGGAAAACCTATCATTGCTGTTGAAATGCCAGCTGCTTCTGCCAAGGTTCATGTTAAATGAATCTGGCCCTAATACATCCTGCAACTCAACATAGCTGCTGGGTTCAATAAAGGCAAAAAACTGGGTCTAGGGGAAGAAAAGCTACCATCTGCTAAAGTCAAATGCTTCTAGTTGACACAGCATTGTACCGACACACTGAATCCCAGCATCCCACTGGGAAGTCTGACAATTCTGCCCCAATCCCATCAGAGTACATATAATACTACCAGCAACTGATTTCTTCTCTTTTTTGGGAACAAAGGGCTCCTGAGAGATGACGGTGTTTGGACGAGCCTTGAAGCAAGTTGCTTCTTTCTGCTGTCTCAGTTCTTCTTCCAGCTATTAGAGAGAAAGTCGGTCAGATGAGCAATGCCTCAACTTTCTATGACCACTACCTCAATAACTTAAGTTCTAATGTCTGAACTGTTTCATCAATAAAAATAGCAGATTTAATATAAACCCTAGTAAAAATCTCTCACACAAACTTTATAATGAACAGATCAGTCTGACAACATTTGAACTCACTGAGAACTAGAAAGTATTTTTAAGATACTTTTAAGATTCCTAAGTTTGCATTTTCAACATTGAAGTTTACTTTTAAATAAAAAAAAAAAGATTCCCAACACAAAGAAATGATAAATGCTTGAGATTCTTGACATGCTAATGACCCTGATCAGATCATTACACATTATATGTATTGAAACATCACTATGTATCCCAAGAATATGTACAACTATTATTTGTCAATTAAAAAAATAAAAAGTTTTAAAGTTACTTTTAAGACCAGACATCAGGAAAATAAACAACTAGACATTTTCTGCCTTCACACATGATTCATTAGGAACTATACAGTATCACCTATAAAGTATTTTTCCCACCTCCAAAAAAAAATCTAACCAGAATTGAATCAAGCCTCTAGATCTTACTACTCATTTATAGGAAATACAAGCAACAGAGGAACATGTTAAACAACTGTGTGGGAATGCAATCAGCAAAATCCAGATTGTGGAAAATTTACAGTACAAACAATCCAGTTTATTCAACAAATAAAATGCAAAGAGAGGTGCCTACAGATTGAAAGAAGATTCAGAGATTTAGCAAACAAAGACACTATGTAGACCTATATATGGATATTGATTTTAACAATTCAACTGTTTAAAAAATAATGAGAAATGTGCAGATATTTGATTACTTTTAATCTTTTTAAATGTGAGAATATTATTGTGGTTATAAGTCCTTATATTTTAAATATATACACTGAAGTATTTTTGGATGAAAAGGGATGTTACATAGAATTTGTTTCAAAGTAATCTTATACAGGTAGAAGTATCCAGCGTAGGGATAAGTGGGTAGAAGTAGGGATGAAATAAGACTTTTCATGTTTTGATCATTATAGAACCAGGTGATGGGTTCATGAAAATTCATTATACTATTCACTCTACTTTTATATTTCTGAAAAGCTTTTTAAAACAATAGTTTTTGTTATTGTTATTTGCAGAAAATGCCCTACACAAACATTCTGTGTCTTGGTCATTGAGAAGGGGAAATTCACTATTTCCAAGGCAACAGTCCTAAGGTTCCTAGAGAACCACACCAACAGGGGACCAGCTTTCAGTCATGAAAGCCATTACATCTCTCGGGCTTCAGGAGGGGTAATTCCTACAAACCAACCACAGCCTAGAGCTCCTTTTGGAAAGAGTCCAGGATTAATGATGACGTAAAAATCCCAATAAACTTAGAAATTCAGGGGAAACTTTTTCCAGCCGGGTAGAATTAAATCCCAATTAAATCAGCAAATAACCAATTAATTGTTTTAAATCACCTGTCATTTATAAAGAGCAAATAACACATCATGCTGAGAAAACAGCATTGTACATTGACAACTATTCTCCCTTACTGTTTCTTACCAGTGCACCAACAGAAAGAAATAAACACAATGAATGAGTCTAATAGATGAAATAGATAAGATCTTAAAGAGACTCCCGACTCCAGAAAAGCCGGTCGGTTCCCACATTCCCCGGGTGATCACTTGGAGCAGGGACGTTCCCAGGTGATCACTTGAAGCAGGGGTCAGCAAACTCTGGCCTACAGGCCAGATCCAGCTCGCAACCTGTTTTAGGACAGCCCTTGAGCTAAGAATGTTTTTTATATTTTTAAAGAGTTGGCTGGGCACAGTGGCTCACGTTTGTACTCTCAGCACTTTGGGAGGACAAGGCGGGCAGATCACTTGAGATCAGGAGTTGGAGACCAGCCTGGTCAACATGGCAAAACCCTGTCTCTACTAAAAATACAAAAATTAGCCAGGTGTGGTGGCACGCGCCTGTAATCCCAGCTACTTGGGAGGCTTAGGTGGCAGAATCACTTGAACCTGGGAGACGGAGGTTGCAGTGAGCTGAGATCGCACCACTGCACTCCAGCCTGGGTGACAGAACGAGACTGTCTCAAAACAAACAAATAAAAAAAGAGTTGAAAACGTGGCAGGCGCGGTGGCTCACATCTGTAATCCCAGCACTTTGGGAGGCCAAGGCAGGCAGATCACGAGGTCAGGAAATTGAGACCATCCTGGCTAACATGGTGAAACCCTATCTCTACTAAAAATACAAAAAAATTAGCCAGGCGTGGTGGTGGGCGCCTGTAGTCCCAGCTACTCAGGAGGCTGAGGCAGGAGACTGGCGTGAACCCAGGAGGCGGAGCTTGCAGTGAGCCTAGATCGTGCCACTGTACTCCAGCCTGGGCAACAGAGCAAGACTCCGTTTCAAAAAACAACAACAAAAATGTGTGCATACACACACACACACACACACACACAAAAAAAAAAAAAAACGTGAGAGACCTTATGTAATCTTCAAAACCTAAAATATTTCCTATCTGGCCCTTTACAGAAATAATGTACTGACCTCTGATTTACAGTGAGAGCCCCTGAAACAATCTAGTATGTCAACCCAGGTGATTTCAGTGTGGTGAGTCTGCCTGTCCAATCAATCAACCAAGCAATTAACATTTTGGCTGCTCTCCCCATCCCCTACCTGGTGCTTCCAAGTTTGTGCCTTCAGAGCACCTCTTCTGTCAGTCTCCAAGCAGAACGGTTCAATCTGGGTCACATTCTTTACCTTCTTCTCTGGCAGATTAATGGTGTCAAAATGAGGCAAGGGAAGTGCCTTGAACTTGGGCACCTAACAGAAAAGAAAACATGAGATTTAAGATAAAGACTAGCTGGAAAGCAATAGCTGCTCCAGAATATCTGGATGAATCTGAAAAATAAGGAAGGACAATCAGTTTTCAAAGCAGCATGGTCTAGGAGAAAAGAATAATGGGTTCAAGCAGTGTGATCAGAGGCAAGTCACTTAACCTCCTTGTGCCAGAAGGATTATTTAAATTACTTGTCCCATTTATATTTTATAGGGTTCTTAGAACGATCAAAAGTCAGTGATTTTATAGCTAAAAGTACTATAGAAAGAACTATCTTTGAGGGATCAAAGAACAGTATTATACTACTTGCAGAAATGGAAACACCTACCTCCCCTTTCTGCAGTTCTTTTATTTTCTTCTCCTTCTGTAACTGACGCTCTTTGTCTCGAGAATCAAAGGAGAAAGGGCATATTTCCACAGTTCTTGCCTCTGGGATTTGGGGCTTAAAAGGCACCCCATAATGTGGCACAGGTTGAGCTTTTATCAAGACTGGTTCGTCCTCTTCCTAAGGGAAAAAATTGCAGTTTAGAAATAAGACTCCTCACTCTTAACTTCCCCAGAATGTGGAGTCAGAAGACATTATACTAACATGTGGCATTAGTTAAAACAAATCACTGAGCCTCTTAGGTGTCTTAGCTTCCTTTTCTATCCAAGAAGGATAATGACTTAGGTAAGTCATCTACCACCAAGGGCTAACACAATTACTCTTAAAACATTCCACAGGAATGTTGTAAAAACTAAATAAGATCTAACATTATGGATAAAATGAACGTCAGAAGATAGGTCCCAACCAAGCATATATTTTAGTCCCTTTGACCCAGCCTCTAGACTTCATTAAAACATGTGACTGGGACTTAATGGTTGCCAAACCCAGAATAGGACCACGTTGTTTGGGTTCAAGCTGGTAACACAAGATTACTGCGTATTTTAGTTTCAAATGAACCTATAAAAAGGCTTATGCTTGCAATCTGCTATAAAATTACCCTAACTCTGGATATTTATAGATAAAATGGAGCTGTAACAAGAAACTGGCCTGATCAATGACAGTTTATATATTACAATTCCATAAACCATCACCATGGTCACGTTTGCAACTCCTGGGTTAATGGAAATAGGACAAGGTGGATGTAATTGCTTAGTATGAATTTTCAAAATCCCTCACTGAATAGTGACAATCTAAGGCAAAATAAAGTGCAACTTTTGATCCATGTTACAAAGAGCAGCTGATTTTCAGTGCTACAGCAGACAAGCCTCCAATGCTTAACTTCTCCTTACTGTTTCCATAAATTGTAACTAGTTATCACTAAGAGCAGAAAATTCATACCCTTACCAATTACTTTGTTCTTGGAGGAACAAAAAAAATGAACAAATGTTCATATCCATTCTTAAAGACAAGTCCAGAAAAGAATGGATGCCTTTGAACTCCATTAAGATTAATAAATGATAAGGCTTAGACTGACTGACTATATAAAGGAAAAAGAACCCCCCTGCTCCCAGGGAATCACCTCATCTTCTTTGGTGGGCATTCGAATTCTGTTCTTCAATGCAAAGGCTGGTGACTTGGGGACAGTGATTGGAAGTACCCTCTTTTCAGGAACACCCTGAAAGGAGTAAGCAACTCAATTAGATATCACAAAACGATCTCCACTAAGCTGTATGAGAAGATTAAATCCTTTTTTCCCCCTTTGGGCAGAGACAGGGTCTCACTATGTTGCCCAGGCTGGTCTCAAACTCCTGGGCTCAGGCAGTCTTCCTGCCTTGGTCTCGCAAAGCACTGGGATTATAGGTGTGAGCCACTGCACCTGGCCTAGAATGATATTTTTGAGTTTTTAAAATATAATTAATCTAAGCACAGAAAATAAAAGAACACCAAACTGGAAAGAACACCAAATTGTCAACTCTCATATCTCTTTGAGGGTGAATTAAGAGAGAAATTTAATTTTATGCATCTCATAATCCTTTTATTTGTTTGTTTGTTTTGAGACAGAGTCTCACCCCGTTGCCCAGCCTGGAGTGCAATGGGGCAATCTCAGTTCACCGTAACTTCTGCCTCCTGGGCTCAAGCCATCCTCCCACCTCAGCCTCCTGAGTAGCTGGGACTACAGGTGCTCACCACTATGCCCGGCTAATTATATTTTGTAGAGATGGGTCTCAAATTCCTGGCCTCAAGCAATCTCCCGCCTTGGCCTCCCAAAGTGTGAGGATTACAGATGTGAACCACTGTACTCAGCCTTATATCTCATAATTCCAACACATTCAACTACTCTGAAGATTTTTCCTTAATGATTTTAAAACACTGCTAACATTTCAAATCGTTGTGGAATAAATGACATGTATCATATTATGTGCATAATTTAAAACTAATACATTTTAGAGAGTTGTTCTATAGCATTTTTTAATTCGCTCAGAATTGATATTCCATCACAAATCTGGCAATTAATCCTAACTGCAAAATGCTATCTCTTGGCTGCTGTTTTGAATGAAGTGTATGGCCAGATCGATTAAGAACAAAACAAAACCTCAGTAATTTCTTGTTACACTCATGTTCACATCCTGCCTTCATCAGCTCTCTATTCTGCTCTTCCCTAAAGTTTCACTGCCAGACCTACATCAACTACTGCCTGTGCCATTCTGCTAGTCTCCTAATAGCCTTTCAGTTCCGCAACTCATTCTTCCAATTCATTGTCTACATATAGTCCAAATTATTACTCTAAAACATATTTGATCACATCACTTTCTGACTTAAAATTCTTCGGGCCAGTCGCGGTGGCTCACGTCTGTAATCCCAGCACTTTGGGAGGCCGAGGCGGGTGGATCACGAGGTCAGGAGATCAAGACCATCCTGGCTAACACGGTGAAACCCCGTCTCTATTAAAAATACAAAAAAATTAGCCAGGTGTGGTGGTGAGTGCCTGTAGTCCCAGCTACTCGGGAGGCTGAGGCAGGAGAATGGTGTTAACCCAGGAGGTGGAGCTTGCAGTGAGCCAAGATCATGCCACTGCACTCCAGCCTGGGCGACAGAGCGAGACTCTGTCTCAAAACAAACAAACAGACAAACATTAATTCTTTAATGGCTCCTATTGCCTACCTACAACAGCATAACAAATTCCTTGCCATGAAACACAAGGCACTTGCTTGAATCTCACTCATAAGTATCTCCTTCATGGCCTCCTTAGTAGTAGCATTAATCTGGTACCCTCCTGACTCTCCTGCCTTACTTCTCACACACAACACGTTACACAACACGTTACACAACACGTTCCAACCACAAAGAACTACTGGTCTCTCCCCAAATGGTTCCTGTCTCATTACCTTTGCTTGTGCTTTCTCTGTCTGAAATGCCCCAGCTGCTTGAAAGCACCCAACTCATCTTTTCAAGCCTCCACTTTTATAAAGCCTTTCCTCTTTTATAAAGCCTTTCAATAGATCTCTCCACTCCCAGGACCTACAGAACTGACCCCTTTATCCCACTGTATATGGTTTCATCCCAGTCCATACAAAACTTAATTGCACTTATTTATTTAGATGTTCATTTCCCCCTGCTAGCCTGAGTGCTTCGAGGATGGAGACTATTTTATTCCATCAGTCCCAAGTACCTAACATAGACCTTGGCAAGTATAAAGCATTCAGTAAATGTTTGTTGAATGAATGCAGTAAGAATGAATGAACACATGAGTAATAGAATTTATACCTTGGACTCTAGGAGGATACCTTGGGAGCCTTCTCCTTAATCCCAACAATGCTGCAACCGTTCGAAACATGTTTGGAATGTCTTTCTTGGAGTGGCTTTCAAAGGCACTTTCTGGACCATGAGAGATAGTTGCTCAATCTTTACTATTCATTTAACAAATAGTTTCCACCTCTATTATCTTGGACTACTCAGAAGTTTTAGTTCCAAATAACCTTAGACTAGATTCTAAAAGCAAAATAAAGTTTCAAATACACGTGAAGATTTGTCACCCTGGGAGGGATCCAAAAGGCTTATCTCAGGATTCAAGATGCATGGCTTTTCCAAAATGCTTTGTGCAGTATCACAATCATCAGAAGGGATTTACAGTCTCTCAAGGTGACCACTGGGAATGCTCATTCTGCTGTGAAATTTCTTATATGTTTTCTAAAGAATCATTAGCATAGTGATTCTTTAGAAAATCACTAGAATCATTAGCATAGCGAAATCCAGTATAGTAGCTCTTGTATTCAGAGTGACAAAACTCCAAGAAATGGGTTGTCAAATGATGTTTACCATAAAACAGCAACAACAAAAAAATCTGCTCTTCTATAGACATGTGGACACTAGCATCTTGCTTGAATGCACCAGGGGCAAGTGGAAGAGAGACAAACAGTGAGCAAGGAGCCATGGGTCTGTCTGTTCCAGTCCAGCTCTGCTTCCAATCTGTGTAACCTTGAACACATCAGACACACTTCTAGGCCTCAGGGTTTTTTAATAAAATAAAGTAATTGAAATAAGCAATCGAGGATTCATTTAGTTCTAAAATAATTCCCTCTCTCTGCATTCACCCAACAGAAATGTCTGCATTTTAAAGAGAAGCAATGGAAACCTCTAAAAAGTAGGCCATGAAGGAGATATTTAAGAGTGAGCTCAATCTCTTAATTAGCTGGGGGAAAGGAAAAAATGATTTATGAAAATTGTCTTTGCAGCAACTATCCACTCACATCCCATCTTCCCTCACATCAAAGTTAACTAGGAGTTCAATTAGAAATAATGAAAAGAAAACTGGGTTTCCAGAAACAGAGAAGGTTTCTTTTCTTTTTTTTTTTATTGCTGTTTTAAGTTTTTTAAATTATAAGCTCCTTGAGGACTGGAATATTGTCATTTGCATTCTTTTGTCTTCCCATATTACCTACTAGAAGACCCAGTAGTATCTGTTCAATGAACATATGTTGGTTAATACTACCGTATTTACTCATTTACACATCTATCTGCTCTACCAGACTATGAAAGCTTTGAGGACAAGGGCAGTGCCTTGTATCATCTTTGAATTCCTAATGTCTAACACAAATTAGAAACACAGGCTGGTGCATGTCAGCTTGTACTATTACTCACTCAGTTATCCGATATCAGAGTTCTTGTACTGTGGTGGTCACTATGCTAGGGACTGGGGATACAGAGTGAATAATATAGATATACATGGTCCCTGTTCTCAGGGAGCTCACATTCTAATGGAGGAAAGAGACAATGAAGAAGTAACAAATCAAATACTTCCAAATTTTCACAAGTGCTCTAAAGAAACCCAGCAGAATATAGAGCTAATGGTTATTAGAGGGATGCTCCCTCAATGAAGGGGAAGGTATCTCTAAAGAGGTGATACGTGGTTAGAATGGGCCAATGTTGGTGGACAGATGATGCATTTAGGAAAAGCAGCCAGGACTGGCGATGGGTATACTGAGGTGAATACTTCTCCCTAAGACAGGATATGCCCCCCAGGTACCCTGGAACAGGATCTCATGCCTGTCCCAGGGCAGTTAGGAAACTACTCTGAAGCAATGTTATTTTGGGAAGTATATATATTTAAAAAAAGACTGCTGGCCTCCCCAAGTCATCCCTAAAGTATCTCTGCTAAAATTACTCACTGGCCTCACTGACACCACATCCACCTCCGTGGTGCCCCGGCTGCCCAATAGTCAGTACTAAGTTCACATTTCACACCCTCGTGCTCAAGGCTTTGTCACTCCACCTCTGCCCCAGGAGCCGTTTTCTCATTTCTGCCTCACTTGGGCCCACTGTTGCCCAAGCCCATCTTTTATCAACCCTACTTATTGTCCCCTTGCCACTTATCAACCACAAGTAGAAGTGCACAGGAAACACTGCAAGGACACACGAAACAGCTTCAGCACTGGGGGGACATGGATGGGGAACAACAGCATCAGACAGATAAGCTGCATCAGGCTCTGGAAAGTGGGCTCTTAAATTCTGCTGTAAAAGTTCAAGACTAGAAGTTCGAAGACTCTGTTTTGTTTTGTTTTGTTTTTTGAGACAGAGTCTCACTCTGTTGCCCAGGCTGGAGTGCAGCAGTGTAATCTCAGCTCACTGCAACTTCCACCTCCTGGGTTCATGCAATTCTCCTGCCTCAGCCTCCCGAGTAGCTAGGAGTACAGGTGCCCACCACCACGCCCCGGTTAATTTTTTTGTATTTTTAATAGAGACGGGGTTTCACCATGTTAGACAGGCTGGTCTCCAACTCCTGACCTCAGGTGATCAGCCCACCTTGGCCTCCCAAAGTGTTGGAATTACAGGTGTAAGCCACCACGTCTGGTCAACTTACTCTCTTTTAAATGTTTCCATGGGCAAGCTACATTCCCCTGTGAAAGGAAAATAAATCTCGGGACCCCAAATCAAAAGTGGTGGTGTGCCTGTAGTCCCAGCTACTCGGGAGGCTGAGGCATGAGAATCACTTGAACCTGGGAAGCAGAGGTTGCAGTGAGCCGAGATTACATCACTACACTTCTGCACTCTAGCCTGGGCAACACAGTGACATTGTCTCAAAAAAAACCAAAAAAAACAAAAAAAACACAGTAGTTCAGGTGTGACTGATGCTATGAGAAAGGATCTTAGGTGAGGTGTAGACTTTTTTTTTTTTTTAAATAAGCACATGTTTCCTAAGAACCTTCTATTTTAAAAGGTAACCTCTATTTTTATATAACAGCATGGGCTCTGGAATCATATCACCTAAGATTCATATGCTAGTTCTGCCGCTCACTAGTTTGTGATCTTGAGCAAGTTATTTAACCTCTATGTTTCCTAACTTTAAAATGGATTGATAAAGTACCCACAGTGCTTACCTCATAGGGTTGTTGTGAGAATTAAGTGCATTATTACATAAATGTAAAGAGCTTAGAATAAAGACTTGGCATATAATAAGCATTATATAAGTATTAGCTATTATTGCTGTGTTATTTGTGGCAAAAGGTACTGGTTTTCCATTTATATATTTATTTAAAAGTTCCCTTTAAATTTACGTTAGGTCACAAAGTGAGTTGATTTTTAAAATAATAATATTGGTATGTAACATACAAGGATATAGGACAAACTGAGAGAGTGGTATATAAATAAAAACTTACGTAAGGGGAAAAGCTAGGAGCTTGGAGGAAAATATGTTATTAAAAGCTAGGTGCTGGCCAGGAACAGTGGCTCACGCCTGTAATCCCAGCACTTTGGGAAGCCAAGGCAGGTGGATCACCTGAGGTCACGAGTTAGAGATCAGCCTGGTTAACATGGTGAAACCCCATCTCTACTATAAATACAAAAATTAGCCGGGCGTGGTGGCGTGCGCCTGTAATCCCAACTACTCGGGAGGCTAAGGCAGGAGAATCACTTAAACTCAGGAGGCAGAGGTTGCCGTGAGCCAAGATCACGCCATTGCACTCCAGCCTCGACAAGAAGAGCTAAACTTCATCTCAAAAAAACAAAACAAAAAATCAAAAGCAAGGTGCCAAAAAAGTGTTATAAAAACCCTGAAGAAATAATTTCTCTTATCTGGGCCCCCATTTTCTAGTATGTAAAATTAAACGTTGAGCCCTTCTGGCTCTAGAACTCTGAGGCTTGCATATAACCTACTTTTCTCTTGTTGTATTCACAACACTGTTTCCTCAATGGGTAAAGACAAAGAAGGCACAGCCCTTGGAGATTAATTACTTGGGTGGGGGAAGATTTCTTAAAAGTTTATTGTAACTTGGAGATTAACTACTTGGGTGGGGGAAGATTTCTTAAAAGTTTATTGTAACAGAGTTTGGCATATAGTACATGTGCTTCATGGCAGGGGAAAAAAAGCATTGTGAACAGAAGAGAGATCTCATGCAAAAAGCCCTCAATTAAAAGTAGGTATCAGGGAGAAGAACCATTTCTAAGCCTAATCATGACTTTTGTAAAGCCTGGAAAATATAACTTCAAGTTGCTTCTGATTTAGTGCTAAGAAAATACAATAAACAAAACTAGGTACTCAGTCAAAGGTAATACATTGGTGCAGTTTCCCCAAAAGCATGGTGACTCTAAAACAAGCAAAAAGCAAGAAGACAGGAAAACAGTGCTTCCAGAGTAATCCTGGACCTGCATCAATCCAAGCAATGCAAACCACTGGCGGTGGGTGAGGTCCCCATCTGCACTGAAACGTAACTAAAAGCCGCTTTCGCATTTATGCAGGTGCCTAACTTCATTGCTTATTCTGTGACTGTAGCCTTGCTTCCTGATTGCACATTTTCTCTAAAATTGTGGTTGTGAGTGTATTATCAAACTACAACCCACTTCTCTGAAACAGTTTCCAGTGGCTCTTGATAAACTTTTCTCCGGCTTAACTGACCCACTAACAGCTCCCAGTAGAAGCTTCATGTTTCCCACTATCAGGCTTTTTATCATGTAATTCCTACTTCCTGGAATGTTCTGCCAATCCAGTCCATTTGCATTTCTGCAAGTCAAAATTCTATCATATAATGGAGAGGCAATATAAGGAAGTATTAGGATCACAGACTCTGTAGCTAGAGTGTCTGAACTCTTACTTGCTCCACCATGTACTAGCTGAGTGCTCTAGGAATATCACATAACCTCTGTGTGCCTCGGTTACTTCCTCTGAAACAGGTGATAAAGTAACCCACTGAAAGGGGTTGTTGTCAAAACTAATGGGCTAATATATGAAAAGGGCTTAGAGCAGTCCTGGCACATAGTAAAACTGTCATCTATTATGATAACAATAGCAACCCAATGACAATAACTATTACTACATATTGTCAAGGCTCAGCTCAAATGGTGCCTCTCTACAAAGCACACCCTGAACTTTCTATCTGGAAGAAACCATTTTCTCCTCTGAATTCCTATTTTAACTGTCATCTCTCTCAGAACACTTCTGTCTATTTTCTATTATTCACACATATATTATCTCCCATACCAGACTTTGAGCTAACTAAGAGCAAAATCCACCTCTGATAAGTCTCTTTATCACCTGCAGTTCCTAATATGATGCCCTGCTTATAATATCAACCCAAACTTTTGTGTGAATGGGTGGATATTTAGTCATGAGCAGGACACTTCTGCCAACACGCATAGCCTCAACCTTACCACAACATCTTCCAAAATCTTAGTAGGGCAAGGTCTGGAATGAAATTCAAAGTGTTCATCCTCTGATTTCTTCTTTGATTCTCGCTCCTGGATTCTTTTCTCAATTTCCAAATCAAAGCCAATAGGCTCAGTGGGTGGTTTCACAGGTGGTTTCTTGGGCAAGATGGGCCCACCTTCAAGTATTCTGGGATCAAGTTCACGTGCTTTGAATTTGTATCTGTAAGGTAAAAATTTAAAAACCACAAAAAAAATTTTAATAAAATAAAGATTCACAAACAAAGTGAGCCAACCACAAAGAATAGTAATCATTAAAATTATGCTCCCATTGACTGGACAACAGAATAAAATAAATAAAAATGAAAAACAATTGGCCGGGCACAGTGGCTCATGCCTGTAATCCCAGCACTTTGGGAAGCCAAGGCGGACGGATTACTTTAGATCAGGAGTTCAAGACCAGCCTGGCCAACATAGTGAAACCCCATCTCTACTAAAAATACAAAAATTAGCCAGGCATGGTGGCGCACACCTGTAATCCCAGCTACTAGGGAGGCTGAGGCAGGAGAATCTCTTGAACTCGGGAGGCAGAGGTTGCAGCGAGCTAAGAGGCACCAATGCACTCCAGCCTGGGCAACAAGAGCAAAACTCCATCTCAAAATAAATAAATTAATTAATTAATAATAATAAAAGAATAAAAGAAAAAATGATTACCCATCACACACAGTAAAATTTCAACTCTCCACAACATTATCTTTGCCTCTAGAAGAAAGAATAAATGAGACAGTCCTAACATCCCTACCACTTAAGAATTGAGGCTTCATTTCACAGAAGAAGCTCCCCTCCTCAAAAGAAGCACAAAAAGGAATGGAAGAAGGATATAGGAAATAAACTCCAATGCTATGAACCACACTAAGTTTCCATTTCCCTCCACTAGTAATAGCTGTAACAATACCTTGAGGAGTCACAAAAGGGTGGGATCTACCTAACCTAACCTTAGAGGGCACTCCTTAATTGAAATCCTAGTAAGTTCTTCTACTCCAACCTCTGGATTTGATTTTGTGCGGGGGGGGTGTGTGTGTGTGTGTGTGAGACAGTCTCGCTTTGTCACCCAGGCTAGAGCGTAGTGGCGTGATCTTGGCTCACTGAAGCATTGTCCTCCTGGGTTCAGGCTGCCCTGTAGTAGGTGGGACTACAGATGTGTGCCACCACGCCCAGCTAATTTTTTTTGTATTTTTTGTAGAGACGTGATTTCACCATGTTGCCCCAGGCTGGTCTCAAACTCCTGGATTCAAGTGATCCTCCTGCCTTGGCCTCCCAAAGTACTGGGATTACAGGTGTGAGCCACCACACCCAGCCTGGATTCAATTTTCACCACTTTATACTCCAGGATATCTCCATATTCCCACTACAGTCCTTAAATCATAAAGGCAGGGATGTAGCCTGCAGAGCATACTGCTCAAATGCCATAAATTTTCACGGAAAGAAAAATAGCAACTGTCATCCTTACAGAACTGAAAATAAAGTAGGCAGGTTCTTGGAACTCTTCCTCAGATACTGCCAGTGGGACTTACTGTTGCAGTTTCTCGAACTCCTCAGCCTCCAGCTCTGCTGCACTTTTGCAGGTCACAGGCCGTGCACGGTGTCTGGTTTGCAGTACAGGAGTCTGTGGGTCTCTGCAAATCTTGGTCACAGAAGATTTGGAGGGTAACAGGTCTGTAAACAGAGATGACAGACGTTCATCTAGCTTCGCAAGACCCAGTTTACTTTTAAGTGCTGATTCACCTATGTAGCCCAGAGAGGGATAAACCAACCACAAAGTGGCAGGCCCACAACCCTCAGCTCAGCTTACATGGGTAAAACCAACCAACATTCAGTTACTTCTCCCCTATTCCTCTTTTATTGAGGGGTATGACTAAGGTAGCCTTTGGGTAAACTCTACTGTCATCTTCTCAACTGAAAATCCATCCATGTCTGGTCTGATAGGTTCCTTATCACTGCAAGGGCCTAGACTGGCTTTCATTTTCTTTGAGACAGGGTCTCACTCTGTTGCCCAGGCTAGAGTGCAGGGCCATAATGGCTCACTACAAATTCAACCTCCCTGGACTCAGGTGATCCTCCCACCTCAGCCTCCTAAGCAGCTGGGACTACAGACATGCACCACCGCGCCCAGCTAATTTTTATATTCTCTGTAGCGACAGGGTTTCACTATGTTGCCCAGGCTGGTCTTGAACTACTGGGCTCAAGCAATACACCCATCTCAGCCTCCCAGATTGCTGGGATTATAGGTGTTAAGCCACTGTGCCTGGCCAGGCCTAGACTTTCTATTGACAATGCCAATTATTTTGCTTGTTATTAACACAAAAAATTTTTGCTTATTCCAGCTTTAAGATATAAGACGTTCCTGGTCAGGCGCGGCGGCTCACACCTGTAATCCCAGCACTTTGGGAAGCCGAGGCGGGTGGATCACGAGGTCAGGAGATCAAGACCATCCTGGCTAACACGGTGAAACCCCGTCTCTACTAAAAATACAAAAAATTAACCGGGCGTGGTGGCGTGCACCTGTAGTCCCAGCTACTCAGGAGGCTGAGGCAGGTGAATAGTGTGAACTCGGGAGGTGGAGCTTGCAGTAAGCCGAGATTGTGCCACTGCACTCCAGCCTGGGCAACACAGCAAGACTCAGTCAAAAAAAAAAAAAAAAAAAAAGATATAAGGCCTTCCTAAAGACCAAGTAAAGCCTGAATAGAATGGCTCAAACCTGTAATTCCAGCAATTTAGAAGGCCAAACCAGGAGGACTGCTTGAGGCCAGGTGCTCAAGACCAGCCTGGGCAACATAATGAGACCCTGTCTCTTAAGAAAATATAAAAATTAGGTGAGCATGGTGGCATACACCTATAGTCCCAATTACTTGGAAGGCTAAGGCAGGAGGATCACTTGAGCCCAGGAGTTGGACACTGAAGTGAGCCATGATCATGCCACTGCACTCCAGCCTGGGTGACGGAGCAAGACCCTGTCTCTAAAAAGCAAAACAAGAAGGAAAATAAATAAATAAATAAATAAATAAAAATCAAAACAAAAAAAGACCAAGTGAAAACTCCCAATTTTATGAAATCAATATAAAAGCAACAAGACCACCACTTATATATAGAAAATCAAATGGAGAAAATTAAAAACTAAGTTAAAGCATCAATATTAAGATATCACCACCACTCACTGAAAATACTAATTTACTTGGCCAGTGAAACCTTGTCAATTTTCATAACTAATATAGAATGAATCTTTCAATTTAGGTCTTGTCACGTAACAGTGGTAGATCAAAACCAAATCTATTTTAGAAATAAGCCATGTTTCAAAGATACATATAACCATTATTTAGCTGTAACTGTACAAAGTTTTAAATAAAAATTGCATAGTATAATTTCTCTTTCCATTTGCCAGGACTAGTATTCTAAAAGCATGACATATCAGACTCTGAGTCATATATTATTTGAAAAGTTATGCTTAATATTTAAATTTCCATTAGACTAAAGAAGAATATTTCATTATTTTGATACTATAAAATCTAACAAAATCATTTTGGCTACTAGAACATAATAACAATATTTAAAAATGCTACACTTGACCAGGCGCAGTGACTCACACCTGTAATCACAGCACTTTGGGAGGTCGAGGCGGGTGGATCACTTGAGGCCAGGAGTTCAAGACCAGCCTGGCCAATGCAGCAAAACTTGGTCTCTACTTAAAATACAAAAAGTAGCTGGGCATGGTGACACACACCTGTAATCCCAGCTACTCAGGAAGCTAAGGCACGAGAATCGCTTGAACCCAAGAGATGGACATTGCAGTGAGCTGAGATTGCGTCACTGCACTCCAGCCTGGGTGATGACAGCCAGAACGAGACTCTGTCTCAAAAAAAATGCCTATGCAAGGATATAAAAAATTTAGAGATCCTCAAAAGTAAAACAACTACATTCTGCTTTATCCAGAATACTATCCCTATACTCCCAACAACTATTTTATACCACCTCCACCCTTCAGATTTCATCTTCCTTCTTGTAGAAATTATTTCCATAAAGATAGAAACTATTAAATTAGAATCCACTCATCTGCTCACCACCAAATCTACAAACTCCCCCAGTATTTGCACCCATTCCTCCCACTCTCCCATCCTCCTTTTAAAGAACACTCACTCCATCTGTGCTAAGTATCCCTCCAATACCTGCCTGTTCAGGGACTTAATCCATTAGTTATCTTCTCTCTCTCGTACCTTCGGCCTCTTTATCTCTGACAAGATTTCTCAACATTCAGACATGCTCTCCCTATCTCCCACCTCCTTTGACTTTTGCATCTCCCTCCTCCTCAAAAGCTCTTACCATAATTTGTAGTGACCTATTTATCTCTAATGACAGTTTAAGAATGCAAAGAACTAGTTAATTTATCTCTAATGATAGAGATAAATAGGTCGCTACAAATTATGGTAAGGGCTTTTGAAACTTGATGTCAGAAACTTGATGTCGAGTTTTGAAACTTGAATTAGAAACTTGATGTTGAGTAGCACCAAGTCCATTTTATTTACCTCTATACACCTAACACAGTGTGCCTGGTTAGTAGTAGTAAAAATTTTGGTGGACCACTGAATAAAAAGCACATAGCCTTGAATGAATGAATGAAATGCCTTCATTTTCTATAGGTAACTAAATGCAATGTGACACTTTGACACATGGCAAAAATGTCCATTAAGGGCATGTAACGACATCTCAGGTTGCCTTAATTCATTCCCCTTGGCCAGTTATTGATGAGGAGGATCAAGATGGTTGATGGGTATAAGACAGATAGCTGGTTGGCTTGAAAAATTCTGAAGGATACATTTGTTGTCTGCACAGTCACATGCCATACTTTAATTGAAAAACTAGGATTTCAGCTAAAGACAAATCTGTGCTTAAGATGTAAGCAGAGGGAATATAGGAGAGGTTCCATCCAACGGTGATACTGGTAGGAAACTTACTAATATCATCCTTCTTGCTCCTCAAATGATATCTGTTAGGGGTTCGTTTATGGAAGTCTTCAACCTGCTGTGCAAGGGGCACATATGTAGAAACTGTTTCATCATATGTTCTTTTCTTTCCTTGGGACAGGTTGAAAGGCTTAACAATGGTACATCCCTTAGTCACTCGGGCCTGTAAAGAGAAAAGTTGTTCCCCAAATGAAATGTCATGGAAGAGCTCACATCTACCATAAACCACATAGTTGGCACAGAGGATCAATAAAAAAGGCCTGTGTAAAACCAAGATGATTATTCTGAAGTTTGTCTGTCCTTGAGCAAGGGTTATAACTAGTCTATTCTCATTAAAAAGAAAAAAAGAAAAAAAAAGGAAGAAAGGATCTAGCACTTAACAAATCTTATGTTCTGGAATAGTACATAGGTAATTTTTCCCCAACCATGTCAATGTTTTGAAGGAATCCAGAGTAAGCTATCTTAGAATTGAAGACAAAATGTGCTGCACAAAGGAATCTCACCCTCAACTTCATTTAAAAAAAAAAAAAAAAAATTGATTGCGCCTCTGGGTCTGCATCAGGTCAGGCAGCTTCCTGAATCAGTGGAATCTCTCCATACATCCCCTAAAGTGACTGATGAAGAAGCCAATTCCTATTCCTTGGACCAGTAATTTTGATAAAACTGTCTCTAATTGGAAGCAAAACCCTTCAAGGACCTGTATCTCAAAGAAAGAAGCATAACCTCAGGGTTTAAGAATGCAAATAACTAATTTCAAAAAATGATGATACTGACTACAAATGCAAGTGGAGATTATTAGTACTAGAATTTTTACTTACGATTGTTACTGACTTTGTTGGTGCTCTGGTAACAAAACAGCATGAGATTTGACTGGTCTGTTCCAACCCTATTTCTCCTATAAGATCTGTTATATTGGCCAGGCATGACGGCTCACGCTTGTAATCCCAGCACTTCGGGAGGCTGAGGCAGGTGGATCGCCTGAGGTCAGGAGTTTGAGATCAGCCTGGCTAACATGGGGATACCCTGTCTCTACTAAAAATACAAAAATTAGCTGGGCGTGGTGGCAGGCGCCTGTAATCCCAGCTACTTGGGAGGCTGAGGCGGGAAAATCACTTGAACTCAGGAGGCAGAAGTTGCAGCGAGCCGAAATCGCGCCATTGCACTCCAGCCTGAGCAACAAAAGTGAAACTCTATTTCAAAAAAAAAAAAAGATCTGTTATATTTTACACAACTTTATAGACACAAAGTTTTTTTCTCAATTATACTATTATAAACAGTGACCACAAATGCTACACGTAAAATCCTAAATGAATATTAGTAACAGAAATGCTCATTTGGCCAGGTGCGGTGGCTCACGCCTGTAATCCCAGCACTTTGGGAGGCCAAGGTGGGCAGTTCACCTGAGGTCGGGAGTCCAAGACCAGCCTGACCAACATGGAGAAACCCTGTCTTTACTAAAAATACAAAATTGGCCAGGCATGGTGGCACATGTCTATAATCCCAGCTACTAGGGAGGCTGAGGCAGGAGAATCGCTTGAACCTGGGAGGTGGAGGTTGCGGTGAGCCGAGATTGTGCCACTGCACTCCAGCCTGGGCAACAACAGTGAAACTCCGTCTCAAAAAAAAAAAAAAAAAAAAAGAAATGCTCCTTTAGTCTACCAACTTACAGGAGATGAAGGATGCTTTCGTAGTTCAGATGTAAAGTTCACTTCCTTATACTCCTCCTGGTTCTTAGGATGTTGTTTGATTCGCTCATCTGTGCGGAAGTGGAAGTCAACTGATTTGGTGACCTGGCTCACTGATTTCTTCACAGGTTGCCCTGAGTGAGGAACACAGTAAAACACACAGATAACATTAAGATAAGGAACACCAGTAAATCCCCTTTACTCCAGTCCTTTTGCTATTTCTGTTACCATGGATCTAACTTTGTTCACTATCTACATGTAACCCAAAACTTGAAGTAGTCCTCAGGGACACTAATATATGTGTCATATTCATTGAGTACTATTGGGTTTGAGGCCTTTCAGTTATATGCAAACTAAAAAAAAAAGTAGTAGGCTGGGTGCGGTGGCTCAAGCCTGTAATCCCAGCACTTTGGGAGGCCGAGGCAGGCGGATCACAAGGTCAGGAGATCAAGACTATCCTGGCTAACACGGTGAAACCCCGTCTCTACTAAAAACACAAAAAATTAGCCAGGTGTGGTGGTGTACACCTGTAATCCCAGCTACTCAGGAAGCTAAGGCACGAGAATCGCTTGAACCCAAGAGATGGACATTGCAGTGAGCTGAGATTGCGTCACTGCACCGGCCACTGCACTCCAGCCTGGGCGACACAGCGAGACTCTGGCTCAAAAAAAAAAAAAAAAAAAAAGACTTCAAAAACACCTAGCAAGAGTGTAAGAACCACCCCTCATGAATCAGTCAACCATAGCCAAGCTCACCTATGCCAGCCAGAGCAAGTTTCTTGAATTCTTCATTCTTTTTCCGCATTTCCACCACCTCTTGCTGCATTTTCATACTCTTCTCCAGCTCTTGCTCCTCAGTACTTTTTAGAACCTTCTGCCTAAAGAGAAAATCAGTAAATGAGAAGAGAGGAGAGGAGAAAGGTGCTCAGTGACTCAAAAGAATCTACAGGCATTATATAGTATTTTTAACCTGTGACAAAATAATCATCAAAACCAAAAAATATCATCTAATAAATAGATGTTAACTTAACTAGATAACACCATGAAAATAAATAAAAACGCACACTTTGGCGGGGCATGGTGGCTCATGTCTATAATCCCAGCATTTTGGGAGGCCGAGGAGGGGAGATCACCTGAGGTCAGGAGTTTGAGACCATCCTGGCCAACATGGTGAAACCCCGCCTCTACTACAAATACAAAAATTAGCCAGGTGTGGTGGCACACGCCTGTAATTCTAGCTACTCAGGAGGCTGAGGCAGGAGAATCGCTTGAACCTGGGAGGTGGAGGTTGCAGGGAGCCGAGATCGTGCCATGCACTCCAGCCTGGCCACAGAGCGAGACTCCGTCTCAAAAAATAAATAAATAAATAAAGACAAGAAAATGCACACTTTATACCAAAATATTGAAAAATTCAGAAGAAAATAACTAAAATAGATTAGAATATATTACAAAATATCCACAAATATAATCATAAATGATTAGATTGGGCTGGGTGTAGTGGCTCATGCCTGTAATCCCAGGCACTTTGGGAGGCCGAGGCAAGTGGATCACCTGAGGTCAGGAGTTCGAGATCATCCTGGCCAACATGGTGAAACCCTATCTTACTAAAAACACAAAAATTAGCTATATGTAGTGGTGGGCGCCTGTAATCCCAGCTTCTTAGGAGGCTGAGGCAGGAGAATTGCTAGAACCCGGGAGGTGGAGGTTACAGTAAGCTAAGATTGCGGCACTGTACTCCAGCCTGGGCAACAGAGTGAGACTCCATCTCCAAAAACAACAACAGCAACAATGACAAAAAAGATTAGGTTGTACGCCACAAGAAAAACTAAAAGACCAGTAGAAGCCTGGTGCAGTGGCATGCACTTGTAATCCCAGCTACTTGGAAGGCTGAGGCGAAAAGATTGCTTGAGCCCAAGAGTTCAAGACCAGCCAAGGCAACACAGCAAGGCCCTGTCTCAAAAACAAAAACAAAAAAAGACCAGTAGAATGAGGAAAGTATCTACAACGAAAGGTTAATATACATAAAATACATGTAACAGAAGAAAGAAACTCATAAGTAAAGCAGACTAAATCCCAACCCTGTCATTTCATTTGCTGCCTGTAATGATCTTGAGAGAACGATTTAACTTTCCTGAACCTAAGTTTTCTCCACTGTGAAATGAGAGTGTAAATACTCTTGCTTACATCCTATTTGTGACTGTTCAATCAGATGATATCTCTGAAGTGCTTGACACATGGTAACATTCAATACAGAGTAGCCATTCTTAGTAAGGAAAATACCACCAGGACATTTATAGACAAATAAGGTTACCAATAAGAAAAAAAATAAAAAGGAAACAGATAATTCACCCAACAGGAAATATGGAAAAAATGTTTACAATAGTAGCAGTAATACAATCTTGTCAGCAAATACATAAAAATTAAAATAATTTGATGCTGGGGGTTGGGGGAAACGGGGAGATGATGGTTAAAGAGTACAACAAATCTCAGACAAGAGGAAAAAGATTTTTCTTTTGACCTACTGCACGGGGTGAAGGATATCATTAATAATAGTAATACACTAAAAGAATAAATTCCAGCCAGGCACGGTGGCTCATGCCTGTAATCCCAGCACTTTGGGAGGCTAAGGCAGGTGGATCACCTGTCAGGAGTATGAGACCAGCCTGGCCAACATGGTAAAACCTCATCTCTACTAAAAATACAAAAATTAGATGGGTATGGTGGCAAGTGCCGGTAATCCCAGCTACTCAGGAGGCTGAAGCAGGAGAATCACTTGAACACAGGAGGCAGAAGTTACAGTAAGCTGAGATCTCGCCACTGCACTCCAGCCCGAGCAACAAGAGAGAAACTCCATCTCAAAAAAAAAAAAAAAAAAACACCCCAAATGTTCTCATTACAAAAAGTGGTATTTGAGGTGACGGATATGTTAATTAACTAGATTTAATTATTCCAAATTGTAGTCATGAATCATAACATCACTTTGTACTGCATACATATATACAACTATAAATTATCAATTTACAACTAAATTTTTTAAATAATTTGATGCCATATTATATTAATTTAAAAAACCAAAACAATTTTAAAAGTTAATAAACAATGCAGAAGAGATAGTAAGAAAACAAAAATATTAATTCAAGGCCAATGGCACTTCAGGCCAGGCATGGTGGCTCACACCTGTACCCAGCACTTTGGGAGGCTGAGGCGGGCAGATCACTTGAGATCAGGAGTTTGAGACCAGCGAGGCTAACATCGTGAAACTCCATCTCTACTAAAAATATAAAAATTAGCCGGGGCCGGGCATGGTGGCTTATTCCTGTAATCCCAGCACTTTGGGAGGCTGAGGAGGACAGATCTCTTGAGGTCAGGAGTTCAAGACCAGCCTGGCCAACATGGTGAAACTCCGCCTCTACTAAAAATAAAAAATGAGCCAGGTGTGGTGGCAGGTGCCTGTAATCCCAGCCACATGGGAGACTGAGGCAGGAGAATTGCTTGAACGTGGGAGGCAGAGGTTGCAGTGAGCCAAAATCGTGCCACTGCATTCCGGTCTGGGCGACACAGCGAGACTCCATCTCACAAAAAGAAAAAAAAAATTAGCTGGGTGTGATGATGCATGCCTATAATCCCAGCTACTCAGGAGGCTGAGGTAGGAGAATCACTTGAACCCAGGAGGCGGAGGTTGCAGTGAGCAAAGATTATGCCACTGCATTCCAACCTGGGTGACAGAGTGAGACTCCATCTCAAAAAAAAAAAAAAAAGTCGACGGTACTATAAATTGGTACTTCCATTTCAGAAGTAAAACTGGCAATAAATATCAACACTGACAAAACTGGTCATTCCCTGTGGGGAATTTCTCCTTCCTTATTCTGAGGAGATCACTCAAAGAAATGGCTCTGCCTATAAAGTTGTTGACTGATTACTTATAATCGTGAAAAGCTGGAAACTACATTTTCAACAGAAAATAGTTAAATATAATTTGATAGAATATTAATCTATCAAAAAAGGATAAATGTGAAGATTTTGTAGCAGCACAGAAACAAAATCTGAAATAGTCTCATGGCAAGTCAATAAAGCAGAACCCAAGGTTTTATATTAACTGATTGTGAAAATATGTATGCTGGCTTGGGTAAAACCCAGCAGGGAGGTTGGAAAAATAAGAAATGTTCCATTTACATGGTAAGAACCATTGCTAACTTTTTCCTTTTATATTTCTTTTAAATTTGCTTCAACAGTATATTTTTCTGACTGTTCAAGATCTGAGCACCAGCTAGGCACTGTGGTTCACACCTGTAATCCCAGCACATTGAGAGAGCAAGGCAAGAGGATTGCTTGAGGCCTAGTTTGAGAGCCTAGGCAAATAGCGAAACCCCATCTCTACAAAAACATGTAAAAGGTAGGCTGGGCACGGTGGCTCACGCCAGCACTGTGGGAGGCCAAGGTGGGCAGATCACTTGAGGTCAGGAATTTGAGACTAGCCTGGCCAACATGGTGAAACCCCACCTCTACTAAAAATACAAAAATCAGCCAGGTGTGGTGGTGCACACCTGTAATCCCAGCTCCTCAGGAGGCTGAGCCAGGAGAGTTGTTTGAACCTGGGAGGCGGAGGTTGCAGTAAGCCAAGATGGTGCCACTGCACTCCAGCCTGGGAAACAGAGTGAGCCTATGTCGCAAAAAAAAAAAAAAAAAAGTTAGCCAGGCATGATAGTACATGCCTGTGGTCCCAGTTACTTAGGAGGCTGAGGTGGGAGGATCAGGTAAGCCCAGGAGGTCAAGGATGCAGTGAGCCATGATTGCACCACTGCACGTCAACCTAGGCAACAGAATGAGGCCCTGTCTTTAAAATTAATTAATTAAATAAAAATTTAAAAATCTGAGCACCCTTCAGGACACATGTAACAATTCACCTCACCATGGTCAAAGTTTCAGGAGTTTCCCAACCTCCAGGTACACCAAAAAGATTGGAGATGTAAGTCTGTAATTTTACACCATTCATTCTAAAGTTTAAATTCAGGAAAGAAACTTACTTTATGGGTGGCATACAAGGCACAGTATGTCTACCCTTGGCTTTCTCTGGGGAAGATTCATTCTTTTCAGAAGTATCTTGAGCACTGCCTTCTTCCTCTGGCTTCTTTTTGTTGTTAGAACTTGAGTTCAAAAGAACAAAAAATATGTTTTCAATTCCCTGAAGCATAGCCTGTACCCTCCTCCCCAAATCTGCTGCATATGGATTAACTTTTCTCATTCTATAGGATAACAAGCATGCTTTGACCACATGATTCTTCCAATAGTATCATTACATCACATATACTAATGGCTTCAATGAGTAAACTTTGAGAAAGCCAACTTCTATCAAGATAAGAGTTACCCAGTGGTGGTTCAGAAGAGTAAGGAGGGACTCTAACTGCTCACCATCAAACGATCAAATGGCAGAGTTAATTGCCATCCCAATATCTATTCTCTTATTAATAAAACCCCAATTTCAGGAGGAGCATCAACGCACTAAACTACAAGTAAGTATTGTACTTGCTTCAACAGCCTCTACTGCAACTAGGGAATCCAAGTGACACAAGTCTAGGCAAATGAAATGAAATTTAAGGTTTGCTGGGAAAGACTTAAGTTTCCTGGTATAGATGCTGCCCTTTTTCCTTTACTGTTCTCTTCTTCTCTTAAACATAAATACAACACCTAGAGATATACCAGCCATCTTGTGCCAATGAGACAACAAGCAAAAGAAAAAAGCTAAGAAATACAGAGCAGCATCTTGAGAGCAAGTATGAAAAAAAAATCTAAAAATCAGCCACTGAACCAAAGCCAGCAGCTAACTACTTTAGACCTCTGTGAACAAATAATTCATTATTCTTTAAACCACTCCAGTTGAATAGACTATTACTTGGAGCAAAATATATTCTTAACTAATAAAAATATGAACAAACATGTATGCAGCTTGTTATTAAACATAAAAACAAAAAGAGGTAAAACCTATGCCAACTAAGATGTGAGTGCCCTCCAGGACACATGTAACAATTCACCTCACCATGGTCACAGTTTTAGGCATTTCTCAAGCTTGAGGTGCACCAAACATATTGCAGATGTACCATTTTTAATTTTATTCTATTCAATCTAAAGTGTAAACTCAGAAAAGAAACTTACAAGTGGTATACAAGGTACAATATGTCTACCCTTGGCAGTAAGAAGTTGTGGCTACTCACACTTTCATTTTCTTAGAGGGTAGAATTTCATCGATGATTACAGGAGTGGCACATCTCTTGGCTTTCATTTTTACATGATGCTTTTCTTTCTGTTCCAAATCCTTCTGAGCAGAAAGCCTAAGAGATCTTCTATGGTAGAGAAATTGACAAAATGTATAACAAACATATATACTACAGATATCTAAACGTTCCTCAGAAATGTGAAAGGATGTCAAACTACAAAGGGCAATAAAATGGAGTGCTATTCTCTCCACTCTAAAAATCTGATCTCTCTTGTTGATAGTTTTTTAAATTCAACCATAACATTTTAGTTCTTAAATACATTGGTGTCTATAAATGTGACCTCAGTAAAGTGATTAAAAAGAAAAACTTGGCTGGGCATGGTGGCTCATGCCTGTCATCCCAGCACTCTGGAAAGCTGAGGCAGGAGAATTGCTTGAGGCCAGAAGTTCAAACAAGCATGGGCAACATATCAAGACCCTGTCTCTACAAAAAATTTTTAAAAAATTAGTCCCAAGTGGTGGTGCGCATCTGTGGTGCTAAATACTTAGGAAGCTGGGGCAGAAGAATCACTTGAGCCCAGGAGGTCATGGCTGCAACAAGCCATGATCGTGCCACTGCATGCCAGCCTGGGCAACAGAGTAAGACTCTGTCTAAAAACAAATAAATCAATAAGAAGAATACAAAACAAAGAGCATAATGACAGATCTAATACATACCAAAAAGTGCCCAAAACAAAAATAGTTAAATGACTACCAAGTGGAAGACCTTATGAAATCACCACCTAGGCCAAGATACAGAAGAATACTGACAACCACTGCTATCTTGACGTCAAGTGTGATCATTAGATAATTTCCTTATTGCTTTACCAAATAAGCATGTATTACATAAACATGGTATGCTGGTTTTGAAGAAAAACAAAAAATTTTGTATAATGTAACCAGACTACTATAAGTATTCTTTTCTGTCTGGCTTATCTCACTCAACTTTATGTTTGTGAGATTCAACCACATCAATTCACACAGCTCTAATTCATTGACTTTCATTGCTGTATAATATTCATTGTAGGGATATGCCACTATTTATTCAGTCTACTGTTGATGAGTTATCTCCTCATTTTAGCTATTATAAAAAAAAATAAGATTGGTGGGTCTTAGGAAATTAATGTGCTTTTCTCTGATGATCAGTGAAACTGAGTACATTTTCACATGTTTATCGGCCATTTGTCCTTCTCATAAGTGCTAGTTCAAGTTGTTTGCCTGTTTTCTACTGGCTTGTCAATTCTTTACTAATTGATTTGTAATTCTTTGTATACTCTGGATATAAACCCTTTGTAGGATTCATGTGTTACAAATAGTTTCTCCCACTCTAGGGGTTGAATTTTCATCTCTTTATCTTTTAATTAGATAAATATGCTTGAATTTATCAACCTCTGCCACCCCCATTATGGTCAGTGCTTTTCTGTGTGTGTCCTGTTTAAGAAAGCTTTCCCTACTCTGCCAGGTGTGGTGGCTCACGCCTATAATCCCAGCACTTTGGGAGGCCAACGCGGGAAGATCAAAGGTCAGGAGATAGAGACTATCCTGGCAAACACGATGAAACCCGATCTCTACTAAAAATGCACAAAAAAAAAATTAGTCGGGCGTAGTGATGGGCGCCTGTAGTACCAGCTACTTGGGAGGCTGAGGCAGGAGAATCACTGGAACCCAGGAGGCGGAGGTGGCAGTGAGCCGAGATTGCGCCACTGCATTCTTCCAGCCTGGGCGACACAGTAAGACTCCGTCTGGGGAAAAAAAAAAAAAAAAGATGGCACATACCAGGCATGGTGGCTCACGCCTGTAATCTTGGCACTCTGGGAAGCAAAGGTGGGCAGATCACTTGAGCTCAGATCAAGACCAGCCTGGACAACATAGCAAGACTCCATCTCTACAAAAAATACGAAAATTAGCTGGGCGTGGTGCCCTGCACCTGTAGCTTCCACTACTCAGGAGGCTAAGCCAGGAGGATTGCTTACGACTGAGGGGTCAAGGCTGCAGTGAGCCAAGATCATGCCATTGCACACCAGCCTGGGCAAGAGAGCAAGACCCTGTCTCAAAAAAAAAAAAAAAAAAAAAGATCAAATTTTTGAGGCAAAACTTCAGAAGCAAGAGAACCACAGAGAGGGTAAACACTAAACCCTGATTATAAACTCATACTCTGAGGCCGGGCGCAGTGGCTCAAGCCTGTAATCCCAGCACTTTGGGAGGCCGAGACAGGCGGATCACGAGGTCAGGAGATCGAGACCATCCTGGCTAACATGGTGAAACCCCGTCTCTACTAAAAAATACAAAAAAATTAGCCGGGCGTGGTGGCGGGCGCCTGTAGTTCCAGCTACTCGGGAGGCTGAGGCAGGAGAATGGCGTAAACCCGGGAGGCGGAGCTTGCGGTGAGCTGAGATCGTGCCACTGCACTCCAGCCTGGGCGACAGAGCGAGACTCCGTCTCAAAAAAATAAAAAATAAAAAATAAATTCATACTCTGGCCTGGGTGCAGTGGCTCGCGCCTGTAACCCTAACACTTTGGGAGGCAGAGGTGGGTGGGTTCAGTGAGCTCAGGAGTTCGCGACCAGCCTAGACAACGTGGTAAAACTTTTTCTGAACAAGAAATACAAAAATATTAGCTGAGCACAGTGGCTTGTGCCTGTAGTCCCAGCTACTCAGGAGACTGAGGTGGGAAGATTGCTTAAGCCCAGGAGGTTGTGGCTACAGTGAGATATGATCATGCCACTGCACTCCAGCCTAGGCAACTGAGCAAGACTCTGTCTCAAAAATAAATAAAATAAAAATTTGCCTATTGGCTGAATGCAGTGGTTCATGCCTATATAGTCTCAGCACTTTGGGAGGCTGAGGCAGGAGGATCACTTGACCCCAGGAGTTTGAGTCTGCAGTGAACTATGTGCCACCACTGCACCCCAGCTCCAGCCTGGGTGACAGAACAAGATCCTGTTTCAAAAAAAAAAAAAAGCTAAAGTAATACAGAAGAACAAAGATATTTGACATTAGGAAGATGTAACAACTATATCCATACAAGGCCTTTGGAAACAGATTGATAAGGGTTTGAATCTTGGCTCTGAAATAAACTTGCCTTAAGCAAGCAACTTAGTATCTCTGAGCCCTTATCTATAAATTAATTAATTAAGCATATTACCTACAACTCATAAATGTTATACGGATTTTTCTTAATTTATACCAACCACACAAACCCATTATTATGAGGATTTTAAAAGGTAACATAGCCGGGCGCAGTTGCTCACACCTGTAATTCTAGCACTTTGGGAGGCTGAGGCGGGTGGATCACCTGAGGTCAGCAGTTTGAGACCAGCCTGGCCACATGGCAAAGCCCCATCTCTACTAAAAATACAAAAATTAGCCGGGTGTGGTGGCAGGTGCCTATAATCCCAGCTACCCAGGAGGCTGAGACAGGAGAATTGCTTGAACATGGTGGGGCAGAGGTTGCAGTGAGCTGAGATCACACCACTTCGCTACAGCCTGGGCAAAAGAGCGAAACTCTGTCTCAAAAAAAAAAAAAGGTAACGTAAAGGTGTCCATAAACACAGTATGGACACATAACAGATGCTCCGTCCAGTAACTATCCTTTGAACATTATTATCATAACCACCATTTTGAGATTCCAAACAGTCTTACCTCTGAGGCTGGGCAGGAGTTTTTCTTGATATGGCTGCCTCAACTTCCAGGGAAGAACAAGCGTTTGACAGAATGGATTGTTCCACAAGATTTTCTTTTTCTGCCTCTTTGTAGTAAGTGTTGTCAACTATGGGAGACCAAAAGCTAGTCAGCACTCAAATCCCAAGGAAAATAATTGGAGATGAGCCACACACACACCCCCCGTCTAAGCCACAGAATCCTTAGTTCCAGTTAAACCTTATAAGAAGACCAGTTTATAAAAGCTACTTTGGTTGAAACAGAAATGATGTATCTGGGGCTTGCCTATTCGCCAGCCTAAGGTACTACCTTTAAAAAAAGCATCCCACACACAATCTCACGACATTTCAGGACACTGATAAAGTTCTGAAAGCTTCCATAAAGAAGAAACAAAATCACTTACGAAGTAAGGAAAATTAGATAAGCACTGAATTTTTCATCAGCAATACAAAAAAAATAGAAGGTAAAGGAACAATGTCTTTAGAGTAGTGATAAAAAATAATTTGCAATCTATAATGCTGTATTAAGATAAACTTTCAATTGTATATGAAAGTGGAACAATGCCATTTTCAAATATATAAGAACTCAAAGTTTTCCTCTCCTGTACTAATTTAAGAAAGTTTCCTCAGGATGCACTCCCGCATAATGAAGGAGTATATCCAGAAGAAAGATATAAGGTCCAGGAAACAAGGCAGAAAAGATAGTAAAAATAATAATGCTCTCTCAAAAAAGCAGTAATAACTTCCAAGGGTCATTGTCCAATATGAAGCAAGATAAAATGTGGCAGAAATTTAAGAAATCGATAAAGTTTAAAGAAAAGCAAATCCACTGATCTTTTGATGTCAGAATCATCTTTATGTGTCTCAGCAGTTGTGACAATACAACCAAATACAGCCAAAGAGAACCAAGAAGGGATGCAACTGCATCACAGTTACTGACTTGGCATTGAACAATATTTACATAATCATAACATTGTAAATACTGCTGATATAATCATACTATCAGGCATTATGAATGTAACCGCACAAGTTAAAATAGTGAGTTAAAACAGCTACTGGGAAGACAGAGTCAGGAAGATCACTTGAGCCCAGGAGTTTGAGACCAGCTTGGGCAACACAGTGAGATCCTACTTGTAAAACAAAATATAAAAACAACAGGCCAGGCACGGTGGCTCACGCCTGTAATCCCAGCACTTTGGGAGGCTGAGGCACGTGGATCACGAGGTCAGGAGATCGAGACCATGGTGAAACCCCATCTCTACTAAAAATACAAAAAATTAGCTGGGCGTGGTGGCGGACGCCCGTAGCCCCAGCTACTCAGGAGGCTGAGGCATGAGAATGGCGTGAACCTGGGAGGCAGAGCTTGCAGTGAGCCGAGATCGCGCCACTGCACTCCAGCCTGGGGGACAGAGCAAGACTCAAAGTCTTAAAAAAAACAAAAACAACAACAACAACAAAACCAGTAAGTGTTTGAGAAAAAGGACAGGAGATAGGGATGGGAAGAGGAAGGGGTTATTTTAACATAAACTCTAAGTATTGTGATGTTACCGTGGCCATGTTTTACTTTGATAAACTTTTTTTTTTTTTTTTTGCTTTTCAATATTATATAAATAGAGATGGGGGTCTCACTATATTGCCCAGGTTGGTCTCAAACTGCTGGGCTAAAGCAATCCTCTCATCTTGGTCTCCCAAAGTACTGGGATTACAGGCATGAACTACCAGCCCAGCCTCGATAAACATTTTTAACGAAATAGAAAAAAAGTGTTATGGGAACACCGAGAAAGTTAGCCAGGCATGGTGGAATGTGCCTGTAGTACCAGTTACTCAGGAGGCTGAGGCAAGAGGATCACTTGAGCCCAGGAGGTCAAGGCTGCAGGGAGCTGTGATCATGCCACTGCTCTATAGATGGGGTGACACAGTGACACACTGTCTGCAAAAAAAAAACAAAAACAAAAAACCAAAACAGAGTAAGAAAGAAACAATCAAGTAAAGGCTTCATGGAAGAAACAGCACTTAATCACATAGCATATAAACTGACCCCTGATAAAGGAATTAAACTGCAATAAGATGACAGGGAAGAAAAGATAGGCCATGAAAACATAGTTTAGGCATTATTCATTTGAGAACAATCATTTGGCTCATCTCCTAAAAAAATATTTTTGGGGCGGAGAGACTCACACACACACACAAAATAATAGCATAGCATGTCAAGGCTAAAATAGATGCACTTATTCCAATTAAAATGCAGTGACAATAATATTAAATAATAAAGCAAGATCCAATTATATGCTGCCTATAAAAAATGCACTTTAAATATAGACACACCATGCTAACACCAATCAAAAGAAAACTGGAGTGACTATATTAATATCAGGCAAAGTAGGTTTCAGAGCAAAGAACTTCAGTGGGGATAAAGAAGATCATTTCAAACTGTTAAAGTGGGGCCAGGCACAGTGGCTCAACCTGTAATCCCAGAACTTTGGAAGGCTGAGGTGGGTGGAGCACTTGAGCCCAGGCGTTCAAAACCAGCCTAGGCAACATGGCAAAATCCTGTCTCTACAAAAAATATAAAAACTAGCTGGGCATGGTAGTGGCATCTGTGGTCCTAGCTACTCAAGAGCCTGAGGTAAGAGGATCACCTGTGCCCAGGAGGTAGAGGCTGCGGTGAGGTGTGATTGCTCCACTGCAGTCCAGCCTGGGTGACAGAGTGAGACCCTGTCTCGAAAATACATACATAAATATGTATATATACATATATATACACATACATATATATATATGCTTGTATATATATGTGTGTGTGTGTATATATATGTATATTTTGTTTGTTTGTTTTTGAGATGGAGTCTTGCTCTATAGCCCAGGCTGGAGTGCAGTGGCACGATCTTGGCTCACTGCAACCTCCGCCTCCCAGGTCTCAGCGATTCTCCCACCTCAGCCACCCGAGTAGCTGGGACTACAGGTGTGTACCACCACACCTGGCTAATTTTTGTATTTTTTAGTAGAGATGGGGTTTCACCATATTGGCCAGGTTGGTCTCGAACTCCTGACCTTGTGATCCACCCGCCTCAGCCTCCCAAAGTGCTGGAATTACAGGTGTGAGGCATCACGTCCAATCAAAAAAAAAAAAAAATATATATATATATATATATATATAAAAGTGGCCAGTTCATCAAGATGACATAACAATCCTAAACATTTATGCATCTAATAGTAGCTTCAAACTACATGAAGGAAAAATTATAAAGAGACAAATCCATAATTACAGTCTGAGATTTCACTACCTCTCTCTCTAATTGATGAAACAAATGGAAAGAAAAATTAGTAAGAATACAACAGCCATAAATAACGTATAAACAGGCTAGGCACAGTGGCTCATGCCTGTAATCCCAGCACTTTCGGAGGCCAAGGACGGTAGATTACCTAAGGTCAGGAGTTCAAGACCAGCCTGGCCAAAATAGTGAAACCTCATCTCTACTAAAAATACAAAAAGCAGCTGGGGGTCGTGGCAGATGCCTGTAATCCCAGCTACTCTAGAGGTTGAGGCAGGACAATCGCTTGAACCCAGGTGGCAGAGGCTGTAGTCAGCCAAGATTGCGCCACTGCACTCCAGCCTGGGCAACAAGACCGAGACTCTGTCTCAAGAAAAAAAAAAAAAAAAAAAAAAGGAAGAAAGAAAGAAAATCCTAAAATTCACATGGAACCACAAAAGACCCCATGTAGCCAAACTAATCCTATGCAAAGAGAACAAAGCTGGAGGTATCAAACTACCAGCCTTCAAAATACATTACAAAGCTAAAGTAACCATAATAGCATGGTACTATCATAAAAACAGATGCACAGATAAATGGAATAGATAGAGAACCAAGGAACGAATCCACATATTTATAGCCAACTGATTTTTGACAACAGCACCAAGAACATTCCTTGGGGAGGGGACAGTCTTTTCAATAAATGGTGCTAGCTTTGGGAGGCTGAGGTGGGTAGGATGGTTTAAGCCCCGGAATTCTGAGACAAGTCTGGGCAACAGAGTGAGATCTCATCTCTAAAATAAAATTTAAATTCGAAAAATCAATAAATGGTGCTGCTCAAACTAGATATTTGAAGGTAGAAAAATGAAACCAGACACCTATTTCTTACCATATACAAAAATCAACTCAAGGCCGGGCGCGGTGGCTCACACCTGTAATCCCAGCACTTTGGGAGGCCGAGGCGGGCGGATCACAAGGTCAGGAGATCAAGACCATGGTGAAAC